AATTTCCATGTGTTTATGGTTTTTTTGTGGTTTCTTTTTTCAGTAATTTCTAATTTCTTTGCACAGTGGTCAAATAGTATACACGGGATAATTTCAGTTCCTTTGCATTTACTTAATCATGCTGTGTGTGCTAGTATATGGTCTATTTTGGAGAACATCAAGGTGCAGCTGAGAAGAATTTTTGTGTATTTTGTTGTTGCTGGGTGAAAAACTCTGTAGAATTCTACCAAGTTGATGTTGAACCATTTTTATATTTTTTGAATTTTTGTACTTCTATTGCCAAATGTCTATATTTGTTTCATGTGATTTTTTGATTTGGTCATTTATTTGGGGGGGTTAATTTGTTTAGTCCTTCATATATATTCTAGTTCCTTATGTATTTGAATTCTAGCAAAAATTTTCTTTCATTCTCTATATCATCTCTATAGTATATTGATTCCTTTGCTTTTCAGAATTTTATGTAATTGCGTTTGTCATTTTTTAGTGTTATTGTTTTTTGTTCTTGGAGTTCTATTTAAGAAGTCTTTCCCTACATTTATGGCTTCAAGTGTTTCCTTTGTTTTGTTTTCCAGAAGATTCAAGGTTTCTGTTTTGAGGTTTTTTTTTTTAACCTAGGTCTTTGTTCCATTTTTATTTGGTTTTAGTACAGGCTAAAAGAGATGTAGTTTCAGTCTTCATCAAGTGATATCTAGTCTTCCTACCAGCACAGTTGGTAAAAGAGGCTACTTTATTCAATATAGTTTTATCCCCTCAAAAATCAAATGACTATAGGTACATGTGGTGTTTTTTTTTTCTTTTGTTCTTTTTCAATGGGCTACATACCTGTTGTTTCTTTCTTACATGGATGTTTTTATGCCAATGCCATGCTTTATGTTATTATCATTTGGAGTGTGTGTGTGTGTGTGTGTGTGTGTGTGTGTGTGTTTGACTGTCACTGGTTGCTGAATCCAGGGCTTTCGTTCTGAGTTACATTACCAGCTCTTTATGTAAGTTGCTAAATTGCTCAGGCAATACAATACTCCTGCCTTAACCTTCCAGTGTATGAGGCTCTTAAGTTTGTGTCATCATGTGTGTCACTGTATCTTTGTATTGTGGCTTGAAATTAATATTGTGTTTCCTCAGGCTTTGGTTTCTTTGCTTGAGAATGCTTTGGTTTTCCTGGGTCTTTTCTGATTGCATATGAATTTTGGGATTTTTTTCTTGCCCTGTGAAGAATGTTGTTATTTTAATAAGAATTGCATTAAATATATAAATCACTTCTGATAATATATCCATTTTCACAGTATGTGTTCTTCAAATGCAAGAAGAAGGGATATCTTTCCATTTTTCCAATGCCCTCTTCAATTTCTTTATTCACAATTCTATAATTTTCACTATTGAGGTCTTTTTACCTCCTTGGTTAGGTTACCTCCTTGGTTAGGTTGCTTCCTAGATTTGTTTCTTTTTTTTTTTTAAAGCTATTGGAAAATGACTTGTTTTCCTTGTTTCTTTCTTTGTGAATTCATTATTGTTGTAAAAGAACACTACTGATTTTTGTGTATTAATTTTGCATCCTATCACTTTGCTTAATTTATTTTTTAGGTCTGAAAAAGCTTCTGATAAGGTTTTTTGGGTTTTCTGTATAAACAGATTATCTGCAGACTGGTATAATTTGAATTCATTTCAGTTCAATCCCTGGTACCACAAAAAAAATTCATTTGATGTTTGTATCTATTTTTTTCTCTTACCTAATTATGATGGATAAAGTATAAAGTATTATATGAACAGCAGTTGGAAAAGTAGACACCTTTGTCCTGTTCCTGACTTCACAAAATGTTTTCAATTTTCTCCAGTCTGATGATGGCTATAAGTTTGTCATATGTGGTTATTTTATTGTGCCTTACAGTAGTCAGGTCCTACTGTACTTACTTTCATGAGGGTTTTTACCACTACAGGATTTGGGCTTTTTGTCTAAGGCTTTTTTCTGTGTCTGTTGAGGTAATCATGTGATTTTATCTTTGTCTCTATTAATGTGGTATATTACATTTATTGATTTACAGATTGTTGTGGTTCAGGATTTTGCAAAGTAACAGTACAATACAGGACACATATTTTATAGGATTATTTATAATGAATCACTCAAAGAATCATATATAAAGAGAGTGCAGGAAATCTGCACATACACTAAAGACTGAAGAATCCAGCTAAGGGCCTGGATCCCATGGTGATATCCTGCATGAGTCCAGCTGAAGACCTAAAGCTCATAACAGTGCCACCCACAAGTCATCTGGAGGTCTAGTGTTCATAACAATGTCTCATGTAGGCCTCTTTCATGGATCTTTGCTGAGAAGGCCTAAAGGTCAGCAGTAGAAGCTAGAAAGTCTATGCCAGCAGGACTAAAGGTCTGTGCTAGCAGGCTGAGGGATCTGCACTGGAGCCAGTAAGCAATGCTCAACCTAAGAAAGAGAACTCCCCTGAAAGGTATCACAGCCATCCTCAGCAACAGTGAGGTCCTAAGGAAAGCTGAGTTCCCATCAGGAAAGCCAAAACAACCAGCTTCTCCAGAAAACTGAGCAGTGCACCATCTTCTCCTCCAGAGCCAGCAGGCAGTGCTCAAAGTGAGAATCAGAGCTCCCTCAAACTGAACCATAACCATTCTCAGTAACAATGAAGTCCTGAGGTGCTCCTCTAATGAGAACAGTCAAGTTCATTAGGAAAACCAGCACAACAAGGTCCTCCCACAGAACCAACAGCAACCTATAGCCTCGTAACAGCTTGTCCAAACAGCTTCCCTAACAGCCTCCCTTCTTTATCAGTTCTGCCTCTTATCCTGCTGGCAATAATCCTCAGGTTGGCCTCCCTCACCCAACACCACACTAGTTCAGTTCAATTGGGTATAACAAGTTGACCAACAGTTTGCAATCCACCATGCATATGGTGCACAACTCTTGCATCCCTGGGTTGAAGTCAACTAGGTCATGATGTATGATATTTTTAATGAACTGTTGAATTCTTTTTGAGAAATTGTATACAGTATACAAATGCTCATTGAAAATATTAGCCTGTAGTGTTGTGGTTGCTGAATCCTTATCTCACTTTTGTAATCAGGGCAATGCTGGCCTCATAGAATGAGTTTGGAAGTATTCTTCTGTTTTGAATATATAGAAAAATTTGAGGAACATTGGTGTTAGTTCTCCAAAGGCATTGCAGAATTCAGCAGTAAATCAGTTGGTTTCTTAATTGGTAAAGTTTTTATTACTACATTAATTAAATTGCTTATTATAGATCTGCTTAGAGTTTTAAATGTTCATTTTTTAGTAAGTTAGACCTCTAAGAATTTACCCATTTCTTTAAAATTCTGTTTTATTGAATGTAACTTTTCAAAATAACTCTAAATATCTTCTAGATTTCAGTGGTGTTTGTTATGATCTTGCCTTTTTCAGTTCTCATTTTGTTAATATGAGCATCTTTGGGTAAATTTGGCTAATGGATTATTATCTTGTTTATCTTTTTAAATAACCAAGTTTTAAATTCATCCTTTGTCAGTTTTTGTAGATTCAATTTCATTAATTTTGTTTCTGATCTCTATTACTTTCCTTCTACTGATTTTGGAAGTGGTTTGTTTTTATTTTTTCTAGGACCTGGAGGTGCAATATTAGGTTGCTTGGGATTGCTCTGTTTTTCTAATATTTGTACTCATAGGCATAAACTTCCCTCTTAGAAATGTTTTCACTGTGTTAGATTGTGATACATTTTGTTTCTATTATTATTTGATTCTAGGGATCATTAATTATCATTCCTGTTTGTTCACTTGGTTGTAGTCATATTTATCTGCTAAGGCTGTATTTCTGTCCACAGTTAGTACTGTAAGAATATGCTGATTTTTTCCTTTTACTACCAAACATACAGGAAATACTCTCTCTTATATGCTGAGCCACTGTTCCTTCAGTTCCAGAGCATATTGTTTCAGTTTATTTACTTATTTTGCTAAATCTCAATATTTCACCTTATTGCTGACTGTCTCAAGATGCAGTCCTATGATTTTCTTTGTTACCTCTATGTCTTAATAGAATTGTATGCCTATTGTTTTGAATAAATATTCTGGAGCAGCGTAGATTTTGAATTAAAGATGTGAGTCAAGATTTAAATCCATATATCCTATCTTCTCTATTATGATCCTATCATATATATTTTCTTTGTGTAGTTTCAACTTCACAACAACCCCACGGAAAAGATAAGACAGGCTCTTAGGTCAGCTTTACATTTTAAGAAAACATACAGTTTGTCTAAAATTCTATAATCTATGACTAGTGTCTCTGAATTTGGATTTTACTTCTAACATGAGAAAATACCAAAGAAACTAAATCGTTGTCTAAGAGGAAACCCCTTTTATAAAGAGCTCCAGTGTGAAAAGACTGAGGAAGCTGGATCAGGCATCTCTGAAAATAGTATAGCAAGGGAATATGTTGCCAGAGAAAAATTACAGTAGCAACCATCCAACTGTGACTTGCCTGGTGCTCAGAGGTAGAGAGGATGGGATTTGAATATAGACTTTGGAATTTTCTTGTTCTGTGACCTTCAGCAGATCACTTTCTTACTCTTAAGCTTCAGTTGTCTCCACTAAATGTGAATAATTCTTATCTAACAAGGTTATTATAATCCACTGAGATCATAAAGTTAAAAGGCATAACTGATTAGCAGAAATGGTATTTAATAAAAGTTTATTTTTTCAAGTAGTTGAATCTTTCTCTTTTTTCTTTCTATAGCATTTGTCTAGCCGGCAGAGTGTGCAGCAGAGCACATCCCAGGTAAGCGATTTACCCAGGTCTCCTAATCCTTCAGTTCTTTCTTTTGAGAGATCACTTCTGAAAGCAGTAAGAATGATAAACATCCTTAACTTCTTGTGTGATAACTTCCTTCTTGCCTTGACCTCCAAGCAGATTTAGCCAGTCTCCATTTCTGAGTGCAAAAAACATAGGCCAAGATTAGAATGAGTTAGTTTGAGAAAAAATAAAAAAGCTATTTAGAGTAGTAAGTATTATCACTGGTAACAATGTAAATCAAGTACCTTAGTATCATGATAGCATCTCTAAAAAATGACTTTGAAAATTGTTCCCTAGAAGATTTAATTTGTGACTTGGAGAATTGTTTGCTTATAAGTCAGAATTTCTGTTCACTTTTTTCCTGCAGTCTATTTACTCTGCTCATCTCCTTGCTGGTCTATCTCCACCAAAATCTATGATATAGCTGTCCTTACTGGTAGAGAAAGCTTCTTCAGTGTCTCAACATTGTGAGAAAACTTAGTAATTTAGGTTTTGTTTATTATCATTAATATTTATACATAGAAATTACAGATATTTGCTTCTTTAATAGGTAGACACAATGCGCCCACGTCATGGGGAAGCCTGTCGAATGCCGGTGCCACATCACTTCTTCCTCAGTCTGAAGAGTTTTACATACAATACTATTGGGGAAGATACTGATGTCTTCTTTTCTTTGTATGACATGAGAGAAGGCAAGCAGATCAGGTAAGAGTCACTGGATGTTTTTGTGAGATTGAGAGTCTATATTAGGATGACATGGATGATATCTCTGGCTTTCAGAAAGGCATGTGAATACAGTGAGAAAAAATAAAATAAACAAGCTTTGTATTATTAGCTAGGAATTCGGCCCCAATTGTCAGCACGCCTTGAAGTCATCTAAACCATACCATTTGTAGACTTTTTTCTTATGCCTACAAAAATGATCAAAAACTATTGTGAATATTTATATTAAAAATAATTTATAATAAAAGACACATTATCACTAAAGCTCCTCTATAGAAGCTCCTTACTTTGAACACACTATTCCATCAATCTTGCCACTTTCTGAAGAAGTTCTGGAAGGTTTCTTGTGTATCTTTATGAGGTATCAACAAAAATATGATGGATGCTGTTCCTGAGTGCCATTTAATGGAAAGACAGGGTTTAAAAAACATTGTGTCTTCATTCTCTTTATTCAGCAGATATGGTACCATGTAAGTTCTTTCTCTTCCCTAAAGTCAAAATGACCACAAAAGGTAAATGTTTTCAAATTGATTCAGGACATCAAAGCAGTCACGACAACACAACTGAAGACAATCATGAAGAAGGACTTGTACAACTCTTTCATAAAGTGGCAAGAATGATGGGATAAGTGTGTTTGGGGAAAAGAAAGTATTTTGTGTGGTGTTAATTGTAATGTGTCTTATTGTAACTATTTTTTAATTGAAACATGTATTTTTTAATCACACCTCATATTTCTACATGGAAACTCACAGTTAAGCTTTGAATCACCACTTCAGGGAGAGAAAAGTATGAGTCTGTTTTATCCAGAGAAAATCACATGAAAAATATATAGTGAAACAAATGTGGCAGAGACATCACGCCTAAGAGTATAGGAAATCTTATGCCCTCGATTGCTACAAGTAATTGAGAAAAAAAAAGGCTGACATTGTCCTCCCTGGGGATACCAGAAACTCTTGATACCTGTCTGGCCCCACAAGAGAAAGACTGCCTTCTGGACAAAGAGGAAGATTGGCCTATTTGTCATTCCTTTTATACCTAGGATTCGAATAGTAGCAATAATGGGGCTGACATGCAGTAGAGTACCTTTGTTGGCAACGCACTGGAGCCCTTAAGTATGGACAACTACAGCGGTGCTTTCTCTCTTGAGTGATAGAGAGGAATCAAGGAGAGTCTAGGCTTTTCTTCTTCTAGAGGATACTGGGTTTGGATGATGTAAAATGAACCTTTGGCTGACATAAAATTTTTAGTGTTCTGTCTTTTCTATGGTCACCTTCTAAGTGGGTTAAAGATAAAGTAAAATTTGGGTTACTATATATTGCTTGGGAATTTCTTGTGATAGTGCTTTTTAGAGTTTTTGGTCATTTAACTTTTCAATTACACACTACAAGTGGACAAATTTAGTTTAATTTAATTTAATTTAATACCAGGCATCAAACTCAGGACCTTGCACTTGCCAGGCAGGTGCTTATGCTGCTGAACTATCTTCCCAGCCCCATGTGGGAAAATTTTAAATGGAAGTTATAACAAAAGCAGAACATTTCATTTGAATACTACACAGTGCCTTTGACTGTGATAGAATTAAAGCAGTATGCTTACTTTGATATGGGAATAAAACTATTGATTAGGAAATGTAAATTTTCCTTGTTTTTCTATGGCTCCTAGTATATGACCCTGGGGAAACTATTGTAGAGAATGTAAAGGTAGTGTTGATGGCAGCTACAGCTTCTGCACACATGCAAAAACTGCAGGCCTGGGCTTCATGGATATAAATTCTAACTTCTTTTATTTTTCTATCAGATGAAAGTTTTGTAAATTTGTTGTTTATTTTGTACACACATGTGAATCATTTATTCAAACCAAATATGAGAAAGTTAAGTCTCTGTATGAGACAGATAAAATAGATCTATTCCATTATTGAAGGAGATAACAAAAGTATTATAATTGTGTCCCTAGCTTAATACCCCATAGAGACACTGAAATTCAATGATTTTCAATTTGAACATACTACTTATATATTTTTTTATTTATGAACACAGCACCTTTGATTCTCTCTCCGTAACTATATTACCCTGCATAGTATGTGTACTCAGCAGAAACACTGTACTGTCTAGCTGGTAATCTGTGAAACTATAAAACATTTAAAATAAGAACTTCTTTAAAAATCTGTGAAATGGTTTTTAATGTTTAATTTGTTGGCTATTGGAAACAGCTGTACTATCTTCCCATTCAAATAAGCACACTATAAATTCTCAACTGAAAATATCTATTTAGTTGTCTTAAACTCTTTGTTTTAAGGGTGAATTTTGGAGGCAACCTGCTTGGGTCCCCCCTCTGTCCCTCTCTCAAACAGAAGCTTTCTTTCATCCAATAAATATATTCTGCTCTTAAGAGAAGAGTGAATTTTAAAACTAGATCTAAAATTAATTAATGTCCTTTTTGTTAATGTGTGAATGGTGGCATGAAATTTCACAATTTTAGAACATTGAGTTAATATTGACAGAATTTGGCTTCTCTTATCATTATTAAATAGGTCAGATACTACTTTCTTGAAGTAGTGTATTAGAAATCACTAAAGGTTAAGGTTGTAAGCATATCAGATATGCAGAGTAGGATGACACATTTTAATTGTATTTTCTCATAGAGAACTTCTTTTGTAACTTTCTAATCAAACATTGCTGTCCTCCTGTCCAGTAAAATGATTCTAGTCTAGTTTGCATTTTTGCCAAGATATTCTTGCCTTTGTGTGAAAAACACACGTGAGCAGAAAGAGCAAGTGTAAATATCTCTCCATTGTCTCATGGCTGATTCCATAGGCAAACTTAGGTAAATAACATATTGCAAGCTCACACAGTATACCTTGACCATGTTGACTGATAAATATTAGACTGTCTGGAGGGGGAAAGAAGCAGCAAGTGGCAGGATGTTGATATCTCTGACTAGATTTTTCTGGCATTTTATCATTCCGACAAGAAAAAGAAAATAGGCATGAAATCTAAATATCTAGCTGAGTCCTTTCCTCTTACTGTCAGACAATTTTTTTTTTTTAATTCTACCAGACATGTGCCTGTGGATAGCTCTCAGACATTTCTATGTTACCATACCTAAATTAATTCTTTTCCTTTTATCAGACACACTTTTGCCTGAGCTTCTTAAATCAAGTGACAGGTGTTAGTATTTGCTCAGAGAACCATATCAGAAACCTTTGGGTTCTCTAAGGCTTTTCCATTTGTATCTCCTTTGCCTCGCAGGTAATCATTGTGTCTTATCACCTTTTACTTTCTAAATATCAACTAAATCTCTGCTTCCACTCCATTCTCATTGTTGCCCCACATCCTTCACATTTTCCTTGAAATATAGGCTGTCTGAATCCATTGTCTTCCCGCCCTGAGTTATTTCTAGTTGAAAATGCAAACTGTTGGTATTGGCTCTCATTAATTCTAATGCACCTGGTAATAAAATGGGATAAAAAGTCTGGCATATGACTGTCTATTCTTTAACCTTGTTTTATGCATCTTGTTTCACCTTAGTGATTCATTTTGTTTCCCTAAATATGCCTTGCCCTTTCATATCTCCAGACACTTTTTCACTTGATAAACTTCATCCAGACTTTAACTCTCTATGTTACAAAACCTTCCTCAAAGTTGATGAGTAGCATAAAGCCCTAGAACTTCACTGCACCCATGTACTTAGCTTTATCACATTACTAAATATTACACTGTAATTGTGTACATGTGTAGGGTTTTTTTGTCTCATTAGAAAATGAGAACTTTGTAGGGTGTGTGTGTGTGTGCATGCATGCACATCTGTGCTGTTTTCTTTCCCTGTGTTAAGCATAGAACTTTGGATACAGGAACATTTTTTTAAAATGTATTGAGTGATTGAAGAAATACATCTGTCAAATAATTGATGATCACTTGTGAATCAACATTTTCTTTTAAATTAATAGTTTAGGAAGAATTTACTGAAAGCTTCTTATTTGTGGGCCCTTTTGATAACTTCTAGGAATAAAGAAATTAAAAAGAAATGCCCCCATCCCTTAGAGATCTACAATGTTCCCGAAAGACATGAAACATATTTTTCCCAACTTTTAAGTACCAGACAAACTGAATTAAAAAATAAGATAGGAAGATGTCTTCTTGATAAGGGATTAAGGCTTTAAATTTAGTAAGTCAGGGAAGAAGAGAATTGTTACAGAACACAAAGCCAGCCAAGGCTCTTAGAGAAAAAAATGAAACTAGAGTGGAATGGCCAGGATCCAAATAGGATATTAATTATTTTATTCCAACAAATATTTATTAAGCATCTACCAGGTATTATGATAAGTGATAGAGATACTGAGGTTAGCAAGAGAGGTACCTACTTATTTTCCTGAATGATTACATAAATATATGGTTTAAGGATTGTGGTAAGTGCTGTAAAGTAAAATCATGCAAAGTATTGTAAAGACTTTATATAGGTTGGAATAAAGAAAACATATGATTGCATAATAAATATGTAATTAAAGGGAAAAGTTTGTCAAGCATTTAAGAGAAGCCCTAAAGCATGGGGGTACCAAAAGTGGGAATAGAGAGTTGCTCCATGAAGAGGGTGGGCTGTGGTCTTGTGCTGCTGAGGTACATGCTTGCAAGAGTCTGGTGGTTCCTGTCCTTGTGAGCACACTTGTATCCTGGGCCTTCAGTCCGACCCCAGCTGATCATGGCTTCGGCTTTGGAGCAGTTGCAGAATGATCTAGGAGAGGTAAAGGCATTGCTGAAAAAGGCCACTAGGAAGAGAGTATGTGATGCCCTGACAAGTGAAAAATCCAGGACAGAAATAAAGAGTAAGATGCAATGAAAGTCATAGAAGAAACTAGAACTTCTTGACAAGGAAAAGCCAGCTGCTGTGATTGCTCCCATCACAACAGGGTACACAGAGAAGATCAATACCTATGGCTGGAATCAGTTGGTTAAGTTTGTGAAAATCTACATTACCCTAACTGGAGT